GTTCCATCTCATTTCCCTTTGGGGTTGCTGTAGGTGATCTGGAAGTCTGTTTTTGAGGCTTGTTTAGGTGTCTTCTCATTTCCACGGGGTTGGGGAGGTTGCTTCTTTTACCTGCACAGCTCACCTTCTCTGCCCTAGGAGCATGGAATGGCAGCAGGGAAGCTTCCTTCCAGTTTCTGGGACTGGCTCAGCTTCTCTGCCCTAGGAGTGTGGAATGGCCACGGGGGAGCTTCCTTCTGGTTTCTGGGATGGGCTCACCTTCTCTGCCCTAGCAGCATGGAAGGGCAGTGGGGGAGCTTCTACTTCATTCTTTTTTAAGGCTTAATCATATCCACATGCATTAATACACTGCATTTTGCTTACTCATTCATCAGTTGATGGGCATTTGGTTGGTACCCTTTTTTTCTGGCTCTTACAAATAATGCTACTATGAACATTTGTGTAGAAGCTTCTATGTGAACATATGTTTTCATTTGAGGGGAAGGGTGTGTGCCAAGCAGTTGAGCTGCTGGGCTCTATGACATCTTGGGGAATTGCCAAATGCTTTTCCAGAGTGGCTGTACCATGTTACACTTATGATATTTCTACCAGCAAAGCATGAAGGTTCCAATTAGACACATGTTTGCCAACACTTGTTACTATATGTCTTTTTTATTCCAGCCATGCCAGTGGGTCAAAACACAGTCAAAAATAATCTAAATCAACAAGTATAAACTAGCTTCATAGTTAATTTCAGAATAATTAACCTAAAATAGCTGAGGTACCAGAGGCAGACTGCATGTAACATACAGACCTTGTCTATGGTTAAGTAAAAATCTTTGAGAACAAAGTGCCTCCTTTTCTTAAGAAGTATTTGAAGGCCTCGCAAGCACAGGGTCCTGAGTTCGATCCCCAGTACCAAAAAAAAAAAAAAAGAGTTATTTGAAGGGAGTTTAAGGTAAATCAAGGCTAACTGAAGCCTCTCCTTAGCACCAACAACAATCAATGGTCACCTGGACGAGTACTTGGCAGGCTGGCCACTTCATCCTAACTCTGGGTGACCTTCTCTACTTTTCCAAATACTGTAAAATTCTACTTTTATTCAAGGTGTCAGGCTTTCACAGAAGAAAGAAGACAAAGGAGAATGACAGGAAGTGCCATAATCAAACACCATACACACTCTAAACTTATTTAATAGCATATATCTCATAGCCACTGAAAGTTACTAGACAGAACTGGATGTAAATAACTGAAATACCACCCCCTGTAATTGTTCAGTTGATGACTCTATAGGGGAAACTCCACAGGCAGCTCTGAGGGAAGGTGACAAAAAAAATGCCACTGATGAGATGGTTCCCACAGAAGCCAACCTGGAGTGGGGCTGTGAGGGTGAACCACAGTGATTCATATGATACTGTAAGATAACAGCAGTTGAAATCAGTTACCATATACTCAGCTCATGGTGGAAAGCTTCATTTCTATTATTTCTGGAGCTGAAATTTTCCTGATCATCTGACAGCTCTTTCAATGCCTGTGCATGCCTGTCTCAGTGTGCAACCATGGTGGTGTAGAGAATGAATGATTACTCAGAGATGAGACTTAATTGAATCACCAAGAGGCCCGGAGGGGCTATCTCACCCGAGAGCACCCAGTATTAGGGAGACTCCAGGAGAATCCCTGAAGCCAAGAACTCTCCACTTTTATTTAGAACATCGATGTAAGTGAAAAAGCAGAAGAAAAACAGTTTGAGCAAGGAGCTGTCTCAAGGCTAGGCAGTTTTTCTTGGGGAAAGGGGAAGGACAATGACCAAATACAACATTCTTCTGTAATCTAAACTTTTTGTTTGTTAACCATTCCTTTCTTATAGAGCCTGTGTGCTTTTGGCCCGCAGTTTAACCATTCACTTCTCAGTCAAGTCCCCCACACATGCCTTCTTCATAAAGGATGCAGTTTCCAGGAGTCTTTCCACTGTTCTTTCTGAGCCTAGGCCATTTTAAAAACAAGAGCTCTACACTTTTATGGGGAACCATAGAACTCAGTGCACTGACCCCAGCCTTCTCTGGGACTGACAGAAAAGCAAATGGCAATTTCTAGGGATTCCTGGCACTGCTTCTGAAAAAGATAAATGACTGCTTTCAGATAGAAGAACTACACGGCACCCTTCATGAACAAATGCCACATGAAATTCTCAGAGAAACCTACTGAGGTATAGCAGAAGTACAAGAAGTTCAGAGTTTTCAGTTATGGATCCTCTCTTTCTGGAATTGGCATTTTTCCTTTTTAAATCTCTTCTCCATAATCTTTTTTTTTTGGTACCAGGGATTGAACTTGGATCCTTGCACTTGCACAGCAGGCGGCGAAACCACTGAGCTAAATCCCCAGCCCTCTTCTCCATAATTTTATCTTCTTGCTTTACTATTACCAGTACTTCTCCAAAGTTTTTCAATTTTTATTAATACGAAAAATCCAAATTTTTGTGATAGCAAATCTACATTTAAATTTTTTGTTATTTTTGACAATGTAACATATTCAAATTCAGAATTCAAAGGCACAAAAGATATAGAGTGCAAAGTTCCCCCTCCAGACCCATGTTCAAGTACCACATTCTCCACTCTTGTAGCAGTTAAAATGCTACCAATTTTTAAAATCATTTTAGAGATATTTAATACACATACAACTAAATACTAAGTATATTTTCATTCAAACTTTCATATAAAAGGTTAGCATCTATATGTATTATTTTATGCAACCTTTTCCACAAAACATATTTTGAAGAACATTCCACTTCATTACATAAATGATATTTTCTCTTTTTGTAGCTGTATAGTATTCCATTATATTCATATGGTTTCATAACCATAATTTATTTAACTTACCCCTTAGAGATGACAGATTATCTCCAATCTTGCTATTATAAATATTGCTGAGATGATTAAATAATCTTATATGTTTATCATTTTATACACATGAGTATGTCTGTGTAATATAGTCCTAGAAATGGAATTGCTAGATGAAAGGCTATATATAGATTTGTAATTTGAATAAATACTGCTAAATTACTCTCCGTAGAAGTTGTACTGATTTACACACCCACCAGAAATGCAAAAGTGCCTACTTCCCATCCTTGCAAGGCAGTGCTGTCGTACTTTGTTCTCTGCCAATCCATTTGTGAGACATTTATAAATACATTTATAAATAACATTTCATAATATAGATTATGAACATTTATAAATATGTTCATAATCTATATTCTATATGTTTTACATTTTAAAGAACAACTGCATTTCCTTTCCTGCAACTGAGCATATCTTTTCTGCCTCTTTTCTAGTGAGCTGTTGGTCTTTTTTTTATATCAGTCTATTTTCCTGTTTTTATTCAGTCATTCAGCATTCAGTAAACAGTCTACATGATTCATCTTGTTCTTTAACGAAAAAGAAAATTCTTAAAGAAACACTGACCAACAGTGATGATCCGCAGCAAGGTCAGCATCCATTTCTTGTTAACCAGTTTCCAGAAAGGAGTAATTGTTAGGAGTATTGGGGAAAGAAAGGCTACACCAAAAACTTCCAGCCCAGTGAGCTCCAGTGTTTGCAGGGGAAAGTAAAAGATCATCGGTGCCAGGTCATGGTACAGAGACCAAGAAACATATCCTATAAAAAATGTTTGACAGAGAGAGAGTGTGTGACTTTGGCATTGTTTCTAACTGTAGCCCTGGCACTGCACTACCACAGTTGGCTTCCTGCCTCTGGCTTTAACTAGAGGCTATAACAATTCTTCCCCAGCCCCAGGTTGAGAATGGCTTCCTGCTGTGGTGAGTTCCTTAATCACACCACACCCCTGTAGGTAGTCCCTTTAGTAAAGTCTTGGTCTGGACCACCTGGATTCCCGTCAGAATCTTGATGGTGAAATTCCCTTTTCTCAGTTCACCCATACATATATAATGAGAACTATCATGAAAATCAAAAAGAGCAACAAACAAGGGCCCAGGATTTAGCTCAGTGGCACTGTGTCTGCCTAGAAAGTGCGAGGTCTTGAGTTCGAACCCTGGTACAAAAAAAAAAGAGCAACAAACAGCAGGACTCCCTCCCCTACTTTAAACTACACCCACTTGCTCTTTGGTCAGACAACAGTCTTGGGAACAGACCATTTTGAACCCAGCCTTTAGGAGGCAGTGCAGGGTAGTAAAACACCCAGATCTGAAAAGTCAGCAGCACCTCTGCCAACAACTGATGGTGTCATCTTGTGCAATAAAGATAATTAATGCTAATGGGCACTTAGTATGTGCCCTGTGATGAGTATTATTAACACAGACCTTCTCTTATTCTTCCTGGAACCAACATCCTACGAAATAGATACTCTTTCTACTCCCCCTTATAAATGCAAAACAAACAAATTCCCAGATCCTCAAAAAGTTGCTCAAAGTACGTAAGTCACCAGGCGAAGAGTGAACATAGGTCCACGTAGTCCACCTGCAAAGTCGCTGTCTAATAACCACTATATGTGGTACCTTTGTCCCAAACTACTTCTCAATCTCCCTTTCTCAACCAGCAAAACAGGACTTTTAACCACCTCACAGGGAGTTAGGAGAACTGAACCAGATCAAGTACAAGGAGTACCTAGCATGGGAGGAACTTAATTATAGCCACTGCACAACTCCCATCTTAGAAGAGATGGGGTGGGGGGGATGGAGTACAGCTCCCAGAAAACCAAGTTCTCGGGGTTTGTCCTCCCAGGCCAGAAGGGTACTTGTTTCATAAGGGACCCTAGGATTCTAGCCATTCCCAGGCGTTTGTCTGGGAGCTCTGCTTTCAATCACACAAACCGGTCAGAATGACCCCCAATCAGTCCCGGGCACTTATTGCACAGCTGCTGAGTTCAGGAGACTTGAGTAGCATGCTTTCCGCCAAAGGCCGGAGAGAGTGCAGGCTGCTTGTGCGGAGCCACAACCCAGCTCCCGCCCCGCGCCGCCTACAGCCCCTGGGGAAAACAGGTGCCCTTTTCCTTGCTAAAGTTATGTTAAATGTAGGTCACGGGTGGCGCACTGTCCTGGCCGCGAGGGTCCAAGGCCACACTTGGAGACTTGGAGCCCCGTGGGCTTTGCAAACCTGCGGCGGCGTGGGAGCTCCGGAAGCATCACCACCGCCGTGCCTCGCGGGATGAGCAGCTTCGGGCCTCAATCTGGGTCTTGGCTCTCACTCCCTTCGGTAGCAGAAGCTCCCAGGGGACGATAAGCATCTCCATTCTGGGCACAGAGCGCACTATTCTCCCTACCAGAGCTCAGCCAACCTGGCCGAGGGTCGCGGCCCCGGGAGAGGCTGGGGAAGTCCTACCCGACCGCAGCGGCTCACCCAGCAGGGTCTCCAGCAGGATTTCCTTCCACGGGGAGGCCATCGCCCGCTCCAGGCCCGCACCGCGTCTACCCGGCCGGCGCCCACGCGCCAGGTCTCCTCCCGCGTCCGTGCGCCCGCCGCTCTGCAGGCTCCGGGCCGGTGCGCTCAGCCGAGGCGGGGTGGGGCCAGGTGGGTCCGTCCAGTCCCGTCCCCACCACACCCAGCCCAGCCTCCCGCCCGGAGGCCACCTGTGCTCTCTCGCTGCCCACGCTGGCCACGCCGCCGACGGTGCTGGCGCAGGACCCGCAGGCCCGGACCGCCCCGTCTGGCTAAAGCCAGGTTGCCTGGGCCTGGCCCAGCTCCCCCGAGAATGGAGCGCTGCCGGGGGCTGGGAGGGAGCAGTGCGTCTTAGCGTTGGGTGCCCTCGTTTAAACTAGGCCCGTGGGGGCGGTCGCGAAGACGCAGATGAGGCAGCATGAGCTGGGGAAGAGAGCATTTTGGAAGCCTCAAGAGGCCCCGGAGCTTGGGGACCACCTGCCCGCGCTACTTCTCAGTTTTGTGTGGTAAACACACCGTTCGCAATTGCATTCTGGAAGGGTGGCAGGATCCTAACGGCGGCAGGATTTTCTGTGGCTCTTGGAGACGTTGCAACTTTTGCTCAGGGAAGAGAAAACAGGCGAGTGGAAGAAGCTCAAGCGTCCTCAACTTATGGAGACTATTGAGGGGTGGGAGAAGTTCTGATTAATGGAGTGAGTGAACAAGGCCAGTGATTCCTCACTCGAATATTGTTGCAACCCAGATTGACTTGAACATGTTTAGAACTTCCTCCAAGCGATTTACTTCACTTTAATTTTTTCTTTCTCTTTTTCTTTTTTTGAGACAGGATCTTGCCTTATAGTTCAGGCTGGTCTTGAACTCACTAAGTAGCCTAGGCTGGCCTCGAACTTTGAGCGATCCTCTTGCCTCAGCCTCCGGAGTGCTGGGATTGATTACAGGTGTGCGCCACTACACTCAGTATCACTTTAAATTTTAAACAGGGTTTATTTATCACTTCTGGAAAGTTTGCTTTAAAATTAAACAAACATGATGAGGTGCCTAAAATGTATGAAATTGCTTTAAAACAGTTGCTGATGAGTTTATGAGCAGTTTTGAACAGAGTTCCTTATCACTAGTACTCTCAGTTACAAAGATTGCTGGGTAAATCAAGTGAATATAATGGAGGGTCCAGAAATCAACCCTATTGTCTTGGGTCAAACGATTTTCACAAGCTTGCCAAGGCAGTTAGTTACACAAGGGAAGAATATTCTTTTCAACAGATGGTTCTAGACAACTAACTATTCATATGCAAGAATCAAATTGGACTTCTATCTCACACTGTACACAAAAATTAATTCAAAATGGATCAAAGACCAAAATATAAGAGATCAAACTATGATAAGAAAGAAAACATAGGAATAAATCATCATGACCTTGAGTTAGGCAATGAATTCTTAGATATGGCACCAAAAGCACAAGTGACTATAGAAATAATAAACTGCATTTCACCAGAAATTAAAAGCTTTAGCCTCAGGTGGTGGCACACACCTGTAGTCCCTCTGCCTGAAGCCAGAGGATCACTGGAGCCCAGGAGTTCAAGGCCAGCCTGGGCAACATAGTGAAACTTGATTTAAAAAAGAGCAAAAGAAAAAACCAATAAAAATAATTTCTGCTTCAAGAATTACATCAAGAAAGTGAAAGGACCTGGGTTCAATTCTCAACACCACAAGAAAAAAAATGGAAAGAAAATGAAAAGAGGTCTGGGGGTGGCTCCGTGGTAGAGCATGTCCTTAGCATGCACCAGTCCCCAAATTCTATCCCCAGCTCCCTTTGCCCCCAAAGTTGAAAAATAGCACATAGGAGAAAAAATTTTGAATCAAACACCTGAACCAGCTCATCTACGTCCATCTGGACTTGCAGAAGGATTTTCTCCACATTCTCCGTTGGCCTATTGAATAAATCCTTAGGCTATGTTGTGAAAATAAACAATGTAGTTTTAGAAACGTGATTGGTGCTATTGATTGCTTTTTCAGCAAGAAAAGGGTAGGGCTCAGATTATGTCTTTTTATTCTTCCAGCTTTAACATTTTAGGATCCTACACATATTTCTTAGAAAACATTCTAAATTGTATTAGGTACTATTTTCCTTCAAGTATCCGATTTTGTCAATTTATTAGGCGACTCAAATCACACCAGGCAATAGTCAGAAATGAAACATCCTCTATTTCAGGGAGGGTGTTTCTGGCAGAGGGGAAGCACCGTAGTGCTGTCTCCCTCAGCAACCTGGAAAACACCTGTGGCCACAGCTCTTCCTTGCTGCAGTCAGAACTGACATCAAAATCCTTCTCAGAACCCATGACTGGATAAACAAAATGTTTATCTATGCAATGGGATATTATTCAGCCATAAAAGAAATGAAATACTGGCACATGCCACAATAAGGAGGAATCTTGACAATATTATGCTAAGGGAGAGAAGCTGGACATGAAAGGCCTCACACTGTGTGAGCCCGTCTTTGACATACACCCAGAACAGGAAAAGCCACAGAGACAGCGCACTGGTGGTTACTAGGGGACCGGGGGGGGGGAATAGTGCTTAACAGGGAACACTTTTCTTTTGGGGGGTGAGGAAAATATCCTGGAGTTATACTGTGGAGATAAATGCCTTATTCTGTGAATATACTAAAGTCATTTGATTGTACACTATAACAGGGTCAATTTAATGCTGTGCTAATTATATCTCAAGAGAGAAACATCAGATATCTGCTAAGATCACCATACCCAGAATGTATTTTAAAACTACTACAAATCAATAATTTAGAAAAAACAAAAACAAAAAAACAGGGGATTTAACTCAGTGGTTCTGCCACCTGCCTTGCAAAAAAAAAAAAAAAAAATTTAAATATGACCAAAGGTTCAAGAGACCTTTCTACGAAAGAGATATACCCATGGCCAATAAGCACAGGAAAACAGTTAAAAATCATTTCTTTGCAAAAGTGCAAGTCAAAACTACAACAAGATACCACTTTACACTCACTAAGGGGACTACAATCAAAAAATCAGATAGTATTATGTGTTGGTAAGGATGTGGAGATAGTGGAACCCTGTTATCCATTGCTGGTGGGAATAGGCACTTTGGAACAATGTAGTTATGAAAACAATTAAATATAGAGTTAGCATGTGACTTAACAGTTCCACTTCAAGGCATGGAGAAATGAAACATGCAAAACTTGTGCCCAGCCCAGAGTGGTGTGCCTGCCTGCAACCCCAGCACTCTGGGAGGCTGAAGCAGAAGTATCATAAGTTTGAGCCCAGCCAGGGTAATGTTAACTGGACCCTGTCTCAAACTATGAAAAAAACATTTTTTAAAGGGATGGGGATGTAGCTCAGAGGAAAGGCCCTGAGTTCAGTCACCAGTACACAAAAAAATGTGCACAAATATTCATAGCAGCATTATCTATAATAGCCAAAAATTGGAAATAATCCCAATGTGCAATTATAGCACTATATCCTTATAATAGAATATTATTTAGCAATTAAAAAGAAGTACTGCTCTATGTTATGATGTGGTTGAATTTGAAAACATTGTTTTCAAGAGTCAGTCACCAAAAAAAATCACATATGTATTATTCTAGTTCAGAACAGATGAAGTGATATCAATCCAGAGTAGACTAGTATTTGCTCAGGGTTACTGAGATAGGTAGAGAAGGAAAGATTACAGTATAGTTTCTTTTAGAAGAAAATGTTCTAAAATTATCTTGTGCCAGTGGGTGCTCAACTCTGTCAATAGACTAAAAACATTGCATTGTTCATGTTAAATGGGATAATCTTATGAGGTGTGAATTATATCTCAAGAAGTCTGTTTTGTTTTGTTTTGGTACAGGGGATTGAACTCCAGACCTTGCGCTTTCAAGGCAGGTGGCAGCACCACTGAGCTAAATCCCCAGCCCTCAAGAAGTTTGTTTTTAAAAATGCAACTCATGCTAGTTATTTGTAAAGATTCTTTTGAAGTGGTTGGGGTCATTTAATACTAGGCACTCTTCGATGTGTGAAAGACTTCAGTGACTAAAAATATTGGACACTACATTTTCCTTTCTATTGCCCGTGAATGTTTTGCTTTCCAGTACTCATAAAAACATCTAATTCAGCACTGTGTGTGTTTGGCAGGTGCTTTGTAAAGTTTATTCCTTTTCAAAGCTGAGTCCTAGGAAACATTTTACTTCTGTTAAGGATAAAGTGTTTTTCTCCTCCACTCAGAGCTCAAATTTTCACCTGAGGACATTTTTCCTCTTTAACAGTTTGAATACAAGGAAGTCTGGAAAATCCATTCTAGCTGTGAGCCTAGAAAGGGAAACAAACCAGTTTTGTGAACATCTATCTCTGCTACAAACACAACAAAACAAAATATAAAAATCTGCATTGCATAGAATGCTGTTTTGAGTTGTAAATAAAGTAGTAAGCCAAACAGCTCAGCACAATGGGCTTCACAGCATTCAGAAATGGGAACTTGTGTTATTAATTGTATTATTTGTGTTATTTGTTTATCTCCCATAATATTTGGCCTAAGAACATGGTCGGTCTTCAGGACATGTTTGGCCAGTATTTCAGTAGGACCTTCATCCTGGAATCATTTTAATTGCCTTCTCTAGGCTTTCTATAACTCCTACTGGCTTTTTTCCAGCTGCAGAGACAAGAACAGTACTCATTATGCCTGGGAGAATTTCATCAGAGGTTCCCCACCCTTCTGCAAAGATGTAATGTTTACATTGTGTTGCAATCATTTTTCTGATTTGCCAGTTTGTCTTTCCATGACATATTGTTGGAAAGTTTTGTCATGATTCTTGGTGTTTTTCTATGTGACTTGTAAGTGTAGTTTGAATTACTGTTCCTATAGCAGGTGAATTATGAAGTTGCTTTTAATTAAATTTGCAAATGTCCTAAGTTAAATAGAATGCTCGTATGAATTTTTAATTACCTTGCTGTCCACTGAGTTTCATTGCTATTTAACTGCTGATACTATATAACATTTATACCCAACATATAGGTTAGGAGTTATTCTATAACTGATGAGCCAACAGTCATATTCAGTTTGACCTGTGCTATGAATGCACTCATGATATGTAAGTTTATACCTGCTACTTTGATTTTCATATTTACAATATTCATGGTTCCAAATGCCATAGTCTTTCATTTTATTAGTCTCTTTTTTGAATGTATAAGATATGATCAATAATTACAGTGAATGTTTAATTTTTAAATTTATTATAATAAAAGAGACTTCGCCACTAACCCCCTCAGTTCAAACACAGTTGTCCCATTGTTCTTGCCACTTTCTG